TGGCACAATCTCAGCTCACTGCAACCTCCGCCTCCACGGTTCAAGCGATTCTCCTGCCTCAGCCTCCAGAGTAGCTGGGATGACAGGCAGGCACCACCACACCCGGCTAATTCTTGTATTTTTAGTAGAGACGGGGTTTCACCACGTTGGCCAGGCTGGTCTCGAACTCCTGACCTGACGTGATCCACCTGCCTCGGCCTCCCAAAGTGCTGGGATGACAGCCGTGAGTCACCACATCCAGCCCTAAATATCGTTCTCTAAAAGGGTCGGTCAGGGAGATATGAGTGTGGGCACGGTGCACCTGCTTGGTGGGGAGGAGAGGAGACGCAAGGAGAGGGCGGATACCTGGAAGTTCCCTTGGTGTATCTCAAAGAGCCCAGGGAAGGTGGATTTCGGGTCTGGCACGCTGGGCATGAGAAACTTCTTCACTCTGAAATAGAGACGGAGAATGTGGTCAGGTCAGCCACCGTCCCCCAAGCAGGGCTGGGAAGAAGCACGTGCAGGGTATGGACCCCGGGGAGACACCAAGAATGGCAGGGCAGGGCCTTCCGCGTGGATACATGTGTCTCCTCACCCTCCCCAGGGACCCTGCCTCTGGGGTCCTCACAAAGTTCCCACCAGGAGGTCGGGCGCGGTGGCTCACGTCTGTCATCCCAGCACTTTGGGAGGCCGAGGCGGGCGGATCACCTGAGGTCAAGAGATCGAGACCAGCCTGGTCAACATGGTGAAACCCCGTCTCTAATGAAAATACAAGAAAAAAATTAGCCAGGGCACCTGTAGTCCCAGCTACTCGAGAGGCTGAGGCAGGAGAATGGCGTGAACCCGGGAGGCAGAGGTTGCAGGGAGCCGAGATCTTAAAAATATAAAAGCTCCCACCAGGAATAAGGCGTGATGGACAGTGAGCCACGTCCTGTGCACACAACGCATTTGCATTAAATACGTGATTATTTGCGTCTTGTTGATGAGATGGGCTGAAATGAGACCGTCATGTTGAAAATTCCTATGTTGAAATTCTAATCCTCAACCTCACAATGAAACTATATTTGGAAATGGGGGAGGGGGTCTCTAACAAGGTGATGATGGTAAAATGAGGTCACTAGGGAGGGTCTGTTTGAACAGGGCTGAGGTATTTATAAGAAGAGGAGGTTGGCCGGGTGCAGTGGCTCATGCCTGTCATCCCAGCACTTTGGGAGGCCGAGGCGGACGGATCTCCTGAGGTCAGGTGTTCAAGACCAGCCTGGCCAACATGGTGAAACCCCATCTCTACTAAAAATACAAAAATTAGCCAGGCGTGGTGGCACACACCTTTAGTCCCAGCTCTTCAGGAGGCTGAGTCAGGAGAATGGCTTGAACCTGGGAGGCAGAGGTTGCAGTGAGCCAAGATCGCGCCACTGCACTCCAGCCTGGGCGACACAGTGAG